GCAGCTGGGCAACCACCCCAGGGACTGAACAGAAGGGGTGCCAACAAGTTTTGCTCAGCTAGGGCAGTGCGGGGCATGGGATGGAGCTGAGAATGCTCACGGGGGGGGGCATGGAGATGGGGGGAGGGTGGGACTGCTCTGTGCACTCAAAGGCAAGCTTGGGGGCCATGTGCATCCCGGATCTGTGCGCAGGGCAAAGGCGGGCTGCTGCTGCAGGCTTTGCCCCAGGTGCCCATCTTCCTTGAAATGGTACTGCATCATACAATTGCATTAGGAATTCATAATAAGTAGCTTGTCCACAATGATCCCTGGATCCTGTTCAGATTCTCTACTTTCCAGGTATACTGTTTTAGTCTGTAGGCATGACATATACAAATTCCTTCTACCTAGATATGTAACTTTGCATTCTGTTGTATTGAAGCTTTGTGTTGGAAGAAGCCCCAGTTTATCCCACAAATGCTCTGTTTGTCTTCCTTCAACTTAACATTATTTGCCATTTTACCATTCTTTGTGTCAACTGCAAATGTGATCAGCAGTGGTTTTATATGATAATCAATGTACTGGAAGAAAATGTCAAAGAATGCTGCTACCCCTCCCTATGGAACTTCATTAGAATCACCTCCCTCCAGTGATTTTCCCATCGACTAGTCTCTTTAATTTTTCTCTTTAGCTCTGTTCAGTGAACTAGTTCTTAATCCATTTAACATTAACATAATTGATATGATATTGCACTAATGTTTTAATCAGATACCAGCAGGCAATACAGCATCAAAAGCCTTACAAATGTTCATGTCTTATGTTTCTAAGTATGCAGTTATCTTTATCAACCAAACTTGCTGTTTCAAAGAATGAACTCAGGTTTGTTTGACAAGATCCATTTTTCATAAAGTCTGACTGGCATTAATTTATTTAATTATTTATTAATGGATGGCATTAATTACATTCTATTAACTGATTCTTTATTAATTTGATTTCATAGACATTAGGGACTTTTCCAGAAGAGACCTTGTGAGATCATGGAGTCCAGCCCCACTGCCATAGGAAGGAACTCTGCTGGGGTCAAATCCCAGCAAGATATGTATCCAAACACATTTTGAATTAGTCCAGAGTAGGTGCTTCCACCACCTCTGGGGGGAATCTGTTCCAGACCTTGGACACTCGGACTGTAAGGGAGTTTTTCGTATGTCCAGTCTAAATCGGCTTTCCAGACATTTGTGGCTGTTAGATCTTGTTATCCCTTGGGGAGCCCTGATAAACAACTGTTCTCCCAGATCTTGGAGAACACTCTTTATATATGTATAGGCTGCCACCAAGTCTTCCCTGAGCCTTCTCTTCTCCAGGCTGAAGAGTCCCATGTCCCTCATCCTCTGCTCGTAAGGCTTTTTCTCTTGGCCTTTGATCATGTGGGTGGCTGTTCTCTAGACTCTCTCAATCCATGTCCCTCCTGAAGTGGGGGGCCCAAAACTGGATACAGTACTCCGGCTGTGGCCTCTCTAAGGCCAAGTAAAGTGGGAGGATAACATCCCTCGTTTTGCTTGAGATGCACCAATGGATGCATGCCAGAGTTTGGTTTCCTTTTCTGGCTACAGCATTGCATTGGTGGCTCATGCTCACCTTATTAACTGAATCCTGCATCAGGCTTTTGGCTTAAGGTGACCTAGGTTACTCAACTTGCCTGGTTTGTATTTGGGCACAACATTATCCCACATTTTAGAATCATGACCATTTTTTTCGCCCACAACATTGGGAAACACATACCTTACAAACATACCTTAACACATATAACAACCCAATAAAACACTTCCATGCATAGTTACTTTTTAGCATCAATAACCCTATTTCTATTCACCAGAAAATTAAATGTATGCTTAAATGGTAAGCATTTCAAATCTATGGATCTTGGCCTTAGCTGTTTGTGGAATAGGGAGATCAATATAAAATGTACACAAATGCTTACGTACGTTACTCAGTCAGGATCATAGCACAAGTAGCAGTGACATATTTAAGGCTGCAGACTGCTTGCATTGTAAAAGCACCTGTTTTCCTTTATATTTCAATTTTTAATCTGAAAGTTCTTGGATATAAACTCTCACTAAAGCCAATTTTCTTGCAAAGCTAGTATCAGAACAGTTAACCATTGCTGAAACCATTGCTTACTAGTTCCAGATAAATTGATGAAATGGTTTTGGTTTGAATTAGTTTTGGAAATTATATTTTATGCAAAGAGTAATCTTTGAAAGACAACAGGACCTAGGCGGAGATCCAGTACATAGCTCAAACAACTCAGTGGAACTTGAATTATGAGTTCTAGGTCCATGTCAGCCTAAAAAGAAGTAAACTCAGATCAACTATCCCTCAGGAGAGTGCCCTCACAACTTCTCATCATCCATTTGGAGGTGGAGCAACACTCCTTTTGAAGCTGTGCCACTATACAGAAAAGAATTCAAGATTAATTGGGCCAGAGATCAAAAGTATGACTCTTAACTCAGTGAGTAAAACACTTGCCTGGGTGAGAGAAGATTGGGGCAATGATCCCTGGGTCCAAGAACTGCTCATACATGTTGTCCAATGAGTGTTAACTCTAAAATCCTTAAATGAGACTTAGACTGGATATCCAGAACTGGGGTTCCCCTTCTTTCAAGTGAGCAGTTTCAAGACTGGGCCAAAGTTGTGCTGCCTCTCCTTGTCAAAAGCATCTCTCTCTCTCTACCCATTATCCCATGGCAAAGCTCCCATAGGAAGGGTGGAGAGGACCCCATATCTTGGGACAGCCTATAATCAGGTGACTAAGGCACCTTCATGTGCCACCACACAGGAGAGTGCCTTAACCACCTGACTAAACCATGAATGGTTGTAAAATAGTGGGGGGCAGCTCAATTGAACTGCTTTATACCTTGTAGCTCCAACCACATTTTAAAATCAAAGATCTCTGTCCCATTTTTAAAGGAATACATTCAGCATCTAACTCCAAGTGAGAGTTGGAGAGATTGGGTTTATGAATCCACATCTGATCTGGATGTCACTGGGCAACCAAGAGTCCAGGTCCTGACACCTCACAGGGGTACCAACTCACCATGTCATGTTAGTGAGCTCAAACAGGTTCACTGTGGTTTATCCAATTCTGAGGTTCCCAAGACACTGATATAATAAAGCCAGGGAAGCTTATATGTATAACTCATTTGACACAAGGAGAGAGGCACATAAATGTTTTGATTTTATATTTTCAATTATAATATTTAATACAAAAATAAGACAAAAATGTGAGAAAAACATAACTTTGCATTCTGAGCTGTCAAAATGTCATTTGGACATTGTCAGAACTCCTTCCCACCCCCCCAAATACACACCATTTTTTCCTCCAAAAAAAGGTGTCACTAAGCATTTTGGTTTCATTGGTAGCGCATTTTTCTGCTGGAAAACTAATCCATTTAAGTTTTTCAACCATCTCTAGTAATATGAACAGTGTACATTAATTTTTATTCTAGGTTAACTGTGCACACCTTATTATGAAATGAAAGTACACTAACAAGACTACATTAAATTTGCATGCTTCAACAGTAAATAGGTAGAGAGATCATAAGGGGACAACTATGACAACTGGAAAAAACAGCTTTGTAGCAGTCCAGTTGTACAGTCAACAGCCATTTCTCCCTCCCTGGAGGCCAAACGAATCACCTCTGTGATAGCAGAAGCAGCACCAGCACAGTTAATGAGTAATGCAAGATTGCTCCTGAGTCAAAAAAATCAATGATTCATTGCTAAGCGTATTTCATACATTTAAAATTCTGCTCTCAGAAACACACAGCCCTTTAACACAAAACAGAGAGAAGCCATTTGAACAGGATAATAGGGGTGATGAAATGCCAAAAAAGGAACATTCAAAATTATATCCCCTAGTTAAAATGAAAAATAAATTCATTGCATTTTTAAATAAAGATGTGTTTCTCTTATCATTTCTCCCCATTATGTAAATATATAATTCTCAATAAAAAATACTGCTTGGTTTTGACCCTGCGAGGAACAATTCAATACATTGTAACTACAGGATAATCTAAAACACAACTAATCAAAATAAAACTGCAATATAATATAGAGAAAAGAATTATGTTTAATAATGAAAGGCTTTGTTTCATGGACATTTTCATTAAGTTTAAGGAATATTAATTGTATGAATGTAAATTAGCTGAATTAGGTGTTCATTTAACAGGGAGAGGACTAAACATTTTGAGTAAAAATCATTTCGTAGGAGAAATCTAAAATGTCTTATTTTCATCCACCCAAAATACCAGTGGATACTAAAGAGCACCTCAGAAAAGGAGCAGCATTAAAGAACACTCTGCACTGCCTCCCAAGCATTCATCCTGAATTTATCAGGCATCAGTGTTTCTCCTGCATGCATGTACAAAGTCTTTATCCATGGATCCACTAACAATAAAGACTATATTTGAAAAACAAACTTTTTTTTTCAATTCAGCGCCAGAAGTCTCATTCCATATGGAGGTTTTTGATGGCAATACTTCACTAGAAATGTTCTGCAAAGGACTTTCATTCCCACTACAGCCATAGAACCCACTTAAATATGGATTCCACAGTGTGATGTGTTTCCACATTTAAGTTAATATAGATCCAGCTTTTATCGTCTACCCTAAGAACTGCTGAAACTCAGCATGGTCCCAATATTTGGACTGCTCACACTTCTCCTCACCTTCTTTAGTTTTATTCTTCTCCTAGAATGTAGATCATTAAGTCCCCAGAAGGATCTATGTGAGGACCATGGAATGGGCCAGAAATAGTAACACAGAGGGTGCATCTACACATGCGCTTTACTGCGGAGTTAACTAATCTGTCCTTACATAATTAATAATAAGCAATTTTTTAAATGTCTGTAAAGCACTAAGAAGATCAATTGAAATAAATCATATTAACATTAAACATTACAATCTGTGTATGCTATTACACTATGGATTTTTTTTTTAAATAGTTCTGAGTTTTAAGCTTACCTTGTTGTTGTTGATGGCTGTGATGACCCAGACACACTGGGCATTACTGTCATACTGGAATGGAAAATTGGGGGATGTGAAAGTTCCACTGGGTCCCTGAAGATTAGATCCACAAGTCTTTACTGCAAAAAGAAAATGTTTCTCATATAATACATGCTGAAATATGTAAAGCAAATTCATAAAACATACTTGTTCATATATTAAATAACAGTTAGAGTGGTACTATGCTATTAAACATAAATATAGCCTCTACAAAAAAACCCCCCAAAATCATCTGATTTGCATGCCTTGTTCTGCAATACACAGTAAAATAGATGTGTTCTGAGGTTCAAGAGACAGTTTTAAGAGACAGACCAGAATCTACTCATGTTTAAATGGTCTCTGTGTTAAGCTAAATAAAGACATTTTCTAATCAGTGTAATTTTAAAAGATAATACTTATATATCTTTAAAAAGAAGTGCTTGCATACCAGAGTACATGACAAAGGTGTGTTTACACATGCGTTTGATGTAGGAGCAATTTACTTGTAGGTAAACTATTCACAAGTAACCACTCCCAGCCCAGCATCTACGTATGCAGGGAAGTGGGAGACGATTTGCTAACCTGCCACCACCAGGGAGAGCTCTAAGCTCCCCCTGGGTGCTAGCCCAGGGGCTGCCAGGGAGCACCGGGCCAGGAGACAGCTACCCTGAGGGTTGCCTGCTGCTGGGGTGGGGACAATGTTCCCCTGCCCTGGCAGCAGGGAGCTCCTGCCTCTGGTTCCCCAGTTGGGGGTAGGGGACTTGGAAAGAGAGGAAGTGGAGGGACTGGGACCTACCTCAGCCCTGCAACTCTTTATAAGCCCCATGCCTTGATCACCCAATTGGTGCATGGGGCTGGGACGTGCCCCTGACTGGGACAGTTCCCAGCCCCTGTTCCATGACTGCAGGGCAGGAGCTGGAGATGCCATTCCCTACCCAGTTCCGCAATCATGGAGCTGAGCAAACAGCAGGCTCCCCAGCCTGTTCTATCAAGCATCTACATGGGTTATGCATAGTAAGTAATCACAAGTAAATTTGCTACTTGCATTTGCAGGTAGTAAATTTACTCGTGATTAGCAAAGTTTATTCCACAGTAAGCATGTGCATGTGTAGATGCACACACTTACTGTGTAGTAAACTATGCTGTTGTGCAGTAAAGTGTCTCATGTAGAAGAACCCAAACAGTACTAATTTTAGAGAGAGTTTTTTCAAGATCTGCTGGCCTATGCTAATATTTCTCTAACGGTTACGATTACCGCAGCTGAAATAGTATTTTAAATGGTAAGAACTTTCAAGATATGGCTAGGAGTAATGCCTTTCATGAAACAACATTTTACCAAAGAAGAAAACAGGTAAACCACTAAGAAAAGTTGTTCAAAACAAGCAAACAAAAACTTGTTATTCCCTATAGTGGTGTATCTTACATTTAAAAGTAGTAGTAGTGAAAATAAGTTCTGACAAACACTAGTAATTTGATCTCTTGAATTAAAATTAGATTCTAATATCAGTCTTCAAAATGAGTGTTTTGTTCCACAAATAACTGCACTTAAAGTCAATGGGACCATTTATTAAGTCGTGCTTAATCACTGAAATTATGGGCCATTGAGCACCAAGAAAATTTTAAACATACACATCAATGAGAGCAGGATTTCTTTTACTGTAACTAGGACTTCATACACAAGGTATTAAACTTCAGCCCTCAAACACAGATAGTGTTTTGTTGTTGTTTCCTTTACCATCCATACCATATATTTTCACTGAATGCACTACTCCGGAGCAGTCCTTCCTAGGATTCTCTTGGTGCATCTGCACATGTGCTTAACTGCACAGTAGGTTAATTTGCTGCAGTGTAAAGTGTAACAGTCTAGAAATTAGATGCTATTGTATTGCAGCAAACTAATGTTTGCCACTACAGTGGTAAAAATAACTGCACCTGTAAATGCTGACCCAGGTGTACATTGCACCTGGTCATCCCAGGCAGCAGGGAACTAGGCACCTGTCTGCTGCCTAACAATAGGGCTCCAGATGCTGGGACACTCTCCTGCCCCAGCCAGCCCTGAGGCCGCCTCCTGGAGCTGATCCCCCCCACCCCCACCTCCAGGGTCCCTGCCAGCCCATGGCTGCTCCACCCCAGCTGAAAGTGCTGCAGTCCTGGGCACAGTATCTGCACATGACCCTGGACCAGAAAAGTTTGAGTATTGACATATGTCATTAAAGCACTGTGATAAACTCTGGTGAAAACTGCTGGAGTTTATCACTGCTTTAATGACATGGTAGATACACCCTTTTTTTCAGTAACCACAACTAAATCTGAACCCACTATCCTGTCTGTGTAGATTCCTGCACAGTACTGAGTAAAAAAAAGTAATGCCTCATGCTGGATTCTTTCATACCATCTCATTTCATTTATTTAAATTTGACTATGACAGAGCAATCCATCATGCTATTTGTTTACACTTTGACAAAGAAGACTAATTTGAACAGCAGTCAATCAAGCAAATCAATATTGAGTTCTTCTAAGATGGAAACCTTTTATTTGCATTACTCATAATGCTACTCAAAGAATGCCCATCAAAATAAAAATATAGGTTAAATAAGATACTAAACTCCATAACCTATTTGATGCCTATTTATTGTTCCATTATGGAATATCCAACTCTGATTTACACCATCTACATTCCCAACGTTATATTTTAATATTGAACATATGTTACCAAGCAGATTTGACCAAGGTAGGAAAATGTATATATAACTATACTCTCCAAATCTGATTTACAAATACACCAATTATTTTTCCTCAAACCAAATACACACATGTATGCATGTATAATTACATAAGCCAGCACACATATATGCACACAGCCATGTGTGTGTGCACACTCAGGTGCTAGGGGCTGGAGTTGAGTCAGGGGAGGGGGAGTGTTTGTTTCTGCTAGAGATCTGGTGGGCAGGACAGGCACGGAGTGCACTTGTTAGCTCCTAGCCATGCCCTTGCCTGCCAGGCCTCTAGCAACAGGTCAGAGCTATACAAGTTACAGACGTTTTTAACCCTGAATGTGCACCCAGGAGGTGCTAACTTTAATCATAACCTAATATTCTTTAAAGTTATCATGTGACACTTGTGATGAGTAACCACACCCTAAATTACATTCTTTAATCTATGTGTGTATGTGTCTATCTATATGTATATCTATAGATGTAGATGCATATAATCCACATATGTATATGGATTCAATAATTTTCAGTAATACTTACAAAAATATCTTATAGCTATGTGTACAATTTCTTTTTTTTTTCAGCAGTTGAAATTATTTACAAAGGTAACCAATGTGGCTCATTTAGTGATATTTATGCTTCTGGTATTCTAGTATTTGAAGATGTCTCTGCAATGTACAACCAAAGAAAGAAAAGAGAAGATCTTTTAATGAGCTAAGGAAACATTTCTATAACAACAAAGAACGACTAACCCCAATTTTATTTTTTTTTCCTTTTCATGAGAATGAAGTGTGTGTAATACTGATTTATCTGTGTTGCAGGACACTAAGTTGCCTGTTCCTTTAAGAGCAGAAACTACCTAGGGAGAGGGCCCTAAAAGCCAGACAGAAGTCCATGGGTGCAGGTTACTATGGCAACAGGTTAACAAGTAAATTATCCTGCACCTGCACACGGTCAGTTGATCAAAAGAGGCAGGGCCCTGGGCATATATATACCCCAGGGCAGGGACTAGAGGCTGAGTTATCTGTCAGCAGCCAAGGAGGAAGGAGCTCCCAGAGAAGAAGCTCATCAGGGAGGCTTGACTGCCTGTTCTACTCCAAGTAGGATTAAGGGACTCCAGAAGCTCACCGCAGACCCTGGTCTACAAGGCACTTAATGCTAGGAGAAGTTTGATTTTGTTAAAGGGACAGAGTACCCCTGAACTCCCTGTATTATGATATAGCCCAGGAGCTCATATTTTAGTTGCTGTTTATAGGCTGGTGGATCGGGCTGAGGCTATTGGGGAAAGGAGGAGGCCTCTTTGGGGGCCCACTATGGTGTGGGAACCACAGGGCTGGTGTGGGGTGCAACAACTGGGGGTGGTGAGTAGACCCCAGTGCCAGTGTAGGGCGCAGCAACGGGGGGTGAACAGACCCTAGGGCCAGTGTGGGGCACAGCTGTGGAGAGCCCAGTGAGGACAAGAGCCCAAGCTATAGCTAGGCTACAGGAGAGATAATATTTAAAGACCATCTGTGAGGCTTGGGGCATGGTAAAGGGGTGATTTTGGAGCCATGTATCTAGCCCATAAGGCTGAGGGTGTCCTGTGAGGCATCTATTTTGAAGTGGGACCCAAAAGGGGTCTAAGAACCCACAGGGCTCAGTGGGGTCCATCAAGACCATCCCTACCTTCAAGAAGGGGAGGAAAGTGGATCCGGTAAACTACAGGCCCATCAGCCTGACCACTATTCTAGGGAAGGTCTTGGAAAAGATTATCAAAGAGTCCATTCTTAACAGACTGGCCGATGGCAGCATCCTGAGGGATAGCCAGCATGGGTTTGCTTCAGGTAGGTCTTGCTTGACCAATCTTAGGTTACTTCATCGTAATAGAAAATATCACCTGGACAAGGGAGAAGAGATGGGTGTTGTATATCTTGACTTTAAAAAAGCCTTCAGTCTGTTATCCCATGATCACCTTTTGGTAAAACTGGCCAAGTGTGGCCTTGGCTTCACCATGATCTGCTGGCTGGGGAATTGGCTCCGTGTTCAGACCCAGACAGTGGTGGTTGATGGAAGTCAATTGTCGAGGTGCCCTGTGACCAATGGTATCCCTCAAGGCTCTGTCCTTGGGCCAACACTGCTCAACATCTTCATGTTGACATTGGTATCAGAAGTGGACTGGCCAAGTTCGCCGACAACACCAAACAATGAGGTAAAGCATCCACACCTGAGAATAGGAGGGCGATCTAGGCTGACCTTGACAGGCTCAGGAAATGGGTGGAGGAGAACCTGATGATATTAACACCAAAAAATGCAAGGTTCTCCACCTTGGGAAGAAAAACCCACAGCATGCTTATAGGCTCAGCAGTGCTACACTGGCTAGCACTACAGATGAAAAGGACTCAGGGGTC